CATCTTATACTACCAACGTAATAGACGGCTTGCCCAACCTTACAGGCAAACTATTATATACAGATTTGAAGATAAGACTGATATTGTCACATTGAATTATGATAATAAGTAAATAACATTTTGAAATATTTTGCACGGGTATAACCATGCACAGTAGAATAACACACAGGGTTACCCTAAATTGTAGAAACATGAATATGTTTCTAACTTATAATTAATTAATTCATAAATCCCAAGGATTTCACCTGTTCCCTTCCTGACCAAACCTTGTTTTATTTTTGCATAGAAATGAAATAAAATGTCTTTCCGAACCTTGTTTGAACAAAATAGCATATACAACATGCTTTAGACCTCTCAATAGTATAGTTATACAAAGGAATTTTTGGTTGATTTTAAAAAGTATTCAAAAATTAAAACAAAATCCCCCCAAAATAGATAAAAATCAAGATAAACCTTTTATTTCATTAACAAGACACTTTTTTAAATCAACCAAAATTTCCTTTGTACAATTACAATATTGAGAAACCTAAACACGTTGTGTTTATGTCGTTTTGTTCCAAAGAGGTTCGGAAAGATGTTTCATTTCACTCTGGAAACGTGATACAAAGAACAAAACAAGTGTTTGATGTGTTTTCTAAAACAATATAGCTGAAAGTATATGTATATATATTAGGGAGTTTAAGATTAGCGTAAATAATCCATTTACCTATACCTATACGTAGTTTGTTATTACACTAAGCGGTATTTTACCTAAGTTACATGGTTTACCATGCGTAATTACCTATAAATGGCCGAAGATAGGTAAGTCGAAAACGTATGTTTTTATCCAATAAATTATGTCATTTCTAGATGAAATATCATTCATTAAACTTTAAAATAGTAACAACAAACATTTCTCATCTGCATAGAAATTAAGTGGTCGAACACATTCATTGATGCGATAAACGATGCCATGTGATGATGCATGAAATTGTTGAATTTACACATTCTTCATCAGTTTTGCTTATTGTAAATGTATGAAATCAGCCATTTCCTCGTGGTTTCAATTATTTAACTTTACTATTTGGTCACTCTCATTGCTGGATCATGCTAGAAATTTAACATTTCGCCTTAAGTCACTGCCCCATTAGAGGACCCACAAGCAACACTCCCTCCCAACAACAGAAGCTACACCACACTCTCTCTGAAATATATAACAGTTCTTGGAGATGACATGTACTGGTATATGCCATATAAGCATGGTTTTCGCATGGTTTTCATTCTATAATTAGGATGTTAATTTTATCATAAATTGTAGCATACGGTTTCGTAGCATTTTACGTTAATCTTAAACTCATTTTGCAATACGCATTACCTATTACGTATCCGTAACAAACATACGGATAGGGATAGGTACACGTATATTTTTACGCTAATCTTAACCTCCCTATTTAGCAGTTATGTCCCTATCATTGAATATATGCCTGAGGTCTGTCATCAATATAGCCCGAGCTTGCGAGGGCTATATTACGACAGACCGAAGGCATATATTCTATGATAGTACATTTACATAACATTTCATGAAGATAATATGTAGAAATGCGCGAAAAAAGACCAAAGTTTTACATGATTCCAGTCAAAATAACGTTGTCTGTATGTTATGACGTCATAAAATTGTCATGGTAATAAAGTTTGGCGGCTATACAGGAATATATAGCCGGCCTTCCGCTCCATTGACTTCCATACAAATGCTTCGCTAGGTATGTAATACATAAATATATATATTTCAAATTAAAGTGTTACCATTCAAAGGATGACCATTAAATTGACGATGTGTTATATTTTTAGATTTTTTATGACTTTTTTAAGAAAAACGTGTGTTCAAAAAGTTCTCCATATCGATACCACCCCTTTATTAATTGAAAAGGGATTATCGAAGTGCTTCCCAGACAATATGATACATTTCCTTCTTTAACTGGTATGCTGATTATAATAATATAGAAACTGTTAGCTCAGGTCGAATCTAGTCTTTGTTGAACATTTTGCTGATATTGTTGTTTGACTTTTGCTATCAGAATGTGATAAGTATAGAATTTGATTTAAAAAAGTTGTCATTTTATTTACTTCCAGAACCCGTACCCGTCATTAAGTGTGCTTTACTAGAAGTTCCAGACAATGGTTATCTCAAAAACTACACTCGACAAGTCGGAAGTGTCGCTACATTTGGATGTAAATCAGGGTACATCGATAAGAAGGGACGCGAGACTATATCTAGAACATGTGTGGAAACTGGTTTCTGGAGTGGAAGGTCCCCAAATTGCATAGGTAAACATGTAAACATGCATGTGCAAAGAGCACAGGATGAAGTTATATGACAACCTAATTATTCTTAATGTGGTCCCCGTCTTGTACATATACACGTGCCGCACTTGTTTTGAGCTAATCATACAGGTCACATTTTATAGTGTCTTAAAGATATGCTAAGCAGATAAGTAGGTCAGTATTACATAATCATGAAATGAATAAGTCTGATAATGCAATTGGTCAGAATGTACTAAAACCTGCTTGAAACTGAAAAACATTGCCTGCTCTATTCAACACAATTTGGAGGCTTTTGAAATTCGCAGTAACAATGAATAAGTGCCTGTATATAATCATTGCATAGTCAACACTTCATGTAGTGTTTCTCAGATGTATTGAGTTGACCAAAATACTTCTTTGTTTACTACATACTGGACTACATTCTGGCACCCTTACATATATGTTACTGTATACAATTGTTGACCTTTCCAGAGGTCAACCGGCATAATTGTATACCGAGACTGTAAACCGAGAAAAAACTGTTGACAGAGACCGAAGGTCGAGGCCAACAGTAGTTTCAAGGTTTACAGTTGAGGTATATGATTTTGACGGTTGACCGAATGGAGAGGTCTACAATTGTTTTGTTAGTCAGACGAAACTAATAATACACATATAGACGACAGGCATCAATCATGGCTTTCACAATCTTTTCTCCGAACCACGCCAGTAATACTTTTTTAAGAAAATCTGAAGACAGTGGTTACTAAACTCTGTTTTCGGCACTTCACTGCGTACTCACTGGTAAATGAATGACAATTTTACGTTTCTATTTGTATTTTTGGTATACTTTTCCTGAAGCAAAGTCAAAATATCACTTTCATCAACGTTTACAAAATGTCCGTCTACCATGTTTTTTTCTGTAAGCATTATGACGTCATTTCCCCCATAATTCACAAGTGTAGTACAGTAACATACGCAGTCAATAATATGATATCCCATGATGCATAGGTTGGGTACAGGCAAAAATGTTGACCGCTAATTGACCAATCACATGCGAGTATTTACACTGAGGTACTAACGATATATATTGTAGAATTATCCCTTAAGAGCTTTGCAAAATCAACATCTTATACTATCAACGTAATAGACGGCTTGCTCAACCTTACAGGCAAACTATTATAGACAAATTTGAAAATAAGACTGATGTTGTCACATTGAATTTTGATAATAAGTAAATAATATTTTTGTAATATTTTGCACCGATATTACCATGCACAATAGTATAATACACAGGGTAGCCCTAAATTGTAGAAACATGAATATGTTTCTTATAATTAATTAATTCATATAGCCCAAGGATTTCACCTGCTCCCTTCCTGACCAAACCTTGTTTTATTTTTGATTTTTTACAATAAAATAAACTACTCTTTTTGACATCTTATCATTTTTTATTTCCATATGTTATTGACGTGAGAACTCAAATGATCAATGGGAAAATAATGCTAAACTTGCACACTGAAATAGGTATTCCAGCAGGCCTGGGAAAATATGGCTAGAAAAAGATGCTACACCTGAGGGCTACAGGTGGACAACTATTCCCCCAGAAAAGTATTTTAAGGTCAGATCACTAAGTTCATGATTGCATTGGAGATCTACTGCTTCATCGTTTAATATGCATTATAATAGATCGATTTGATGGTAAGAACTAGTACACTGTATGTGATGATATGATCGATTTTACCTTTTTGTCATCATTGCTTAGGAATACAATGATACCATTCCAATTAATGATAACTCACTTATTGTATTACTTGTGCTTGATACACATGCTAGAAGATACGCTTTTAAAATTAGTAAACCATAACAAAACTTTGGTTACCCTGTAGTAGTGAAAGGCACATTAAAAATGAATATCACCCCTTTCAATCTATTTTACAGGTTTTTACGATTATTTCACATTTTTCTATATTTTGCTTAACTAGAACGGTGAATTTTCTTCATTTTTCTTCAAACATTTTGTCTTACCAATATTTATTGTACCTGTCAATTTCAAGAAAATCGCACCTCTGCGTTTGAAAATAATACAAATTATGTCGTTTTTCCCATTGAGCTCCATTATAAAAATGGAATTTTCAAACTTAATATTTTAAAATTCTACATGGTGAAAAGTTGCATGTTGAGTAGTTAATTTTATGGTGTAAAAAAATTCAAAACAAAAAGGAATAAAGAAAAAATGCCACTGAGAAGTCTCATTAACATATCTTTAAATAACCTATACTAGGGATTGGCCAAACAAAGTTACTGATTTTAAAGTGTAATAATTCATATTCAATCTCAAATATTCCGAGATGACTTAGAACTGACGCAAATTATGTTCCATAGTAGTCACGTGGCTATTATGCACGCCTCTGTGCTTTTGATGGCTACCAATCAAATCAACATGTCCATTTTAGTGAACGACGTGTTCCATCAATGTGCCACGCTGACCAAACATTTCTTGGCCATTCATATTGGATTATCAATAACGATCCCTGAGTCATTTCATATAATATTTGGTTGATCTCAGGCATCAATTCTTAATGCCCACTTTGTTGAAAAGGGCAACCAATATCAAAGGGGATCATCATTAATTAGAACTACTGTACGATTTCAGATTTGCAGACTCTACAGAATTTACAGAATTCTACGAATTCTACAACGCCGTATGGCTCCCCTGGACCATTTCCAAATATTGCAGCGAATAAACAGTCACAACGCGACAACTACTGTAAGTAAAAATGTAATTTCTCTATATAATCATCCTACAAGTATGCTTGCCGGTCGAACGTTTTTTGCCAAAAATGTACGATATTGTCATCAGCTTAATTGGCAGACGGGCGAGTGAATGGGTGGACGGTCGTCTTGTTTTCTGGTGGCCATTTTGAAAGTTTTGGTATACATCTTACCTTTCTTTTTAAGAAAGTATTGTTGAGCAATACGTTGAAGTGTAATGATCACAATGACAAGTTGGAATCATTGCCAAACGAGAATAATAAATGCTGGTCAACAATAGGGGCTAATAATGTGTCGTGAGATTTTGGTGATCACTAAAAAAAATATCAGTTCATTTGAAAAACTACCTTGCCAAAAAGGCAATGAAAGATTTGCCTTTATCATTATGCAATCATAACAAAGGAAATTCATGCCGAAATCCCAGTCCGATGTTTTGCAATTGTTAGTCGAGTTCCCCTATCTTTTCAGTATTCCACATTTATTTATCTTGCTTGTTTGTTAGAAAATTCAAGTGGCATTATGGAGAAAATGCTATGTCTTTTAGCAGGTGTATTAAATAAATATTTTCGATTTTATAGCTCCCGAGTCGCTCGGTGTAGGAGTGGGTATAGGACTTGGCATAGCAGCTGCTCTTGTTGCGGGGTGTATTAGTTTTCTGATGTACAGGTAAAACTCTTGACCAGCCGAAAGTTCCCCCTCTTAAATAATGATGTTATAAACAGTACAGAAGTATCTTAAATACAGACTATATAAAGCACTAAGTGCGAACAATATTTCTTTACTAAAATGTGCGGCAGTGTTAACAAATTTATTGAGTACAGAAATACAGTACAGTATTCATTAGGACTCAAGAAAATTTGCGAACAACAAATCTCAAAATTTCCAAAAGACCGAACGAATCTGTCCGTAGATTAAATACAAAGACGGAAAGAATGTTAAATAACGTACTTGGTGGATATATTAAAATGTGATTTCGATACACAATCTTAATCGTGTATTTATATTTTTAAGACGTTATTCAAAAGCAAAGGAATTCAATGGTGACCAAATGAACGCTGAACCAACGTCATTTGACAATAGAGTAATCCAAAAAGACCATGCTATAGAACCTCCGTTTCTGTTGGAGGATATGGATGGAACGGGGGATATCATTGGAGTCTCTGAAAAGGACAAGGAAGCAAAGTTCCCCGAAAAGGACTCAAAGAACCCATTTAGCAATGGAGTCATGTGATAAAATCTACGGTGATCTAAATTTAGTTATGTATGTATTTGACACGATGTATATGGTATTTCAATAATGAGTTTTGGTGTTCTTCTTATGGGAACATAAGTTTTCACTGGATTTCAATACGATCGTTTCCGGAATCAAATTTAAATCAAGCATTCCCTTTTATTTGATAACTTCAATGTTTACATAGACATAACAATACTGATGCTATAATTCCATTCATTGTGTCAGCGCCTATCATTGATAAAAAGTATTATTATTTTCAGATGTACAAAATAATATGGAGATGACGATGCGACGAGTACACTTACTGACTTGAGCCAGTTTTGTGAATTCACGTTATTACATTACTACAGAACGGGGGAGTATTCACCAAACTAAGCATGAGTAGAGAGCTCTGTACATATAAAGAACAGCACTGCAGATTTTATGACCATGTGCTTTTAAATAGTCATCGATGTTAAACTTGAATCATTGTGTGAAATATGCGCAACAACATATATGTGCAATAAATATTTAGACATCGTGTTATGCCTTGGTCACATTTGCTTCGATTCATAGGCCGCGTCCGGCCGATCGAGTATCCTGTTCATAATTGTATTCACTTCTGAACAGAATACTCAATCGGCCGCGCGCCAGCAGACGAATCGGAGCAAATGTGACCCAGGCATTAGGGATAAAGTACGCGTATTGGGTCTAAGGAGGAATAATAATATTAATTTTCCTAAGACCCAATACGATTCGTTCATCTTATTTTAACCCCCCAGAAACTTTTATGAAAGCTAAGTGGCCCATGATCCATTTTTGGAAAGCTTTTCTTTTGTATTGACTATGAGGTAAGAGTGTTGAGAAGTAAGTCGATGTAACTAGTTCAGCTTTAGTGCACTGCATGTAACAGTTTACACTTTGATTTATTTTGTGTTTACTATTTCAATTAGTGAATGAGTGAATAGGGTATAATTGGTCCAGCTTTAGTGCACTGCATGTGACAGTCAATAATCTTTTGTGCCACACTGGTTTTGGATAGCTTGCCATGAGAACATTCTTTAAAAACGATAAAAACAATGCACTCCTCTTTGTTACAGCTGGATATTCTTTAAAATAAACCACAGATCATTCTATAGTATTGCTACCTATAAGTGGGGTTTAAATAAAGGTGAAAACAACCAACAAATATTATAAACTAGTGTATATTAAAGCTTAGAAATGTGTAAAATGTACAAATTAAAGAGATTTCCAGATAATAAATGATTATAACTAGAATATTACCTCGATATCAATCGGAAAAATCAAAATAAATCACAGTTTTGATTTTTGCACATTGATGAAATGAAGTAACTGTATATTGACCATTTAATGAAAGGGCCGCATTTCATCTTATTGGATTATATTCATGTGTGTTTTTAATTTTCATTGATTATTTGTAGAAGTCGATTTTGCTACGTTAATCTGAGCATCTCTTGCAGGAAGGTTTCAACAACTGATTAGCTTTTTATTTATATATATTCTATGAAATCATAGCGGAATGTTTATAATATGATCATGAGATGTATAGATTTAACTATACCCAATGATATTTATGCAGAGTAAATACTGTTTATTTGATTACTTTTGAATTTTGGTCTAAACAAGTTTATGATGATGTTTTTCATATCGTACATTTGTTTTTCTAAAGCACCTGCGATGGGATAGGCTCGTATGTTTAATCGTGATTAGCTGATTAAGTTTTTATGTGTTTTTTAGATCACATGGTGATCTATTGCAACCACTCACTTATCCGTCTGTCTGTCCCTCTGTCTGTCTGTCAACAATTGGGCCGTTTTAAAACCTCTGTCAATAGGATTCCTGTTTTAAGTTATTTTTGTTAAACATCAATATAGAAAAAAACTATGACTCCTGGTTCAAAAGCTCGCCTATTTTCAAAATGGCCGCCTTTTTTGACTCGCGAAATTTACTTTTAAACCATTTGCTTAAAAAACCTGTGTCGACGGGATTCACGTTTTAAGTTGTTTATGTTCAACATCAATACAGAAAATTCCCCTATGACTCCTGGTTCAAAAGCTCGCCTATTTTCAAAATGGTAGCCATTTTTGTCACGCGAAATTCATTTTGGCCCATTTCCAATCTTTACAAATAAGTTCAGGTGTCCTGCATTGTAAGATGTCATATCACTGTAAGGAGTAGTTGTATAAAATAATTGTGTTACAAAAAATCGGCAAAAAATTATCTCAGTTTTTTTTTTTTTAGTTTTAGCCATTTTAATTAACATTGATCTGTCTCGAGATCTGTCTCGAGAAATCCACTTTTGGACCATTTGCCTTACAACCTCTGTCGATAGGATTCCAGTTTCAATTTATTTTTGTTCAACATCAATACAGGAAACTCCCCTATGACTCCTGGTTCAAAATCTCGCTTATTCAAAATGGTCGCCATTTTTGTCTCGCGAAATTCACGTTTGGCCCATCATCTAGCTTTACAAACAATTTCAGGTGTCCTGCATTGTAAAAAGCCATGTCACTGTAAAGAGTAGTTGTATGAAATAATTTTGTTACAAAAATTGAATCAGTTTTTTTTATTTTCTGCCACTTTAGCTATCATTCACTTTTGAGCAACACCATGTGATCCCAGTACCCAAGGTACTATTTATTTTGTTTTCCAGCAGGCATTTTAGAAGCTTTGTGATATATATTATCATTGTGATTCCAAGAAAACCGAGTCTTGAAAACCCGCTAATATCGAATGTTTGTAATGTTAGATTGTACCAAGAGTCTACAGCTGATTAACATTTCAGGGGCAATCGGGTTTTCTTGTAGCCATTTTCAAAGTTGTGGGAAAGCCACTCGTTAGACTTTCTTCAAATTTGTACACATGTTCAAACGTACGAAGCTCTATTGTTCACCAACTTTGGAAAGCTACGTATACTTAGTGGACTGATGGTGTGATTTCGTTTACTTCATGTACCTTGTGAAGTAATGTAGCGATACTTTACCACACTACCCTACCTAAAGTTTATATTGCAAAGTTTATATTGTGTACTACCCTACCACCTGACTACGTTTAAACGGGAAACAGGGTACAGTTAAGTTGCAAATGGAGGACGTGAATTTAATTCCATATTTCTGTTTGTAGAATATTGTTGGCAAAAACCGTTATAGGCAAAGATAGAGAATAGCGGGTGAAGTGAAGCAAAACTCGAAAGCAATACAAGATACATTTCAGTAAGCTATTAACGTACAAGGAGCGTGTATGTTTCACTTTGACCATGTTTTGACATTGATATGTAACAAAAAAAGTAACTGTTATTTAAACTGTGTGTCATTGTGTTATATGTAGATACGTTTTCTCGTATGTTATTCAACTGTATTTTTGTGAATTAATTGTTTTTCTAAAATCTTAAGATGAATAAAAAGTCGTCCGAGAAATTTATCTTTACTTTGTCGTTAGCACAGGCTGGTATCGAAAGATTTGTCCGCTGTGACGGAGCATGCTATTTTTCATAAAAACACTAAGAATGCTTCACGATTTATTTTTTAACTCATATGTTTCGTTATATCAAAGATAATTACTTACTCCCTGCAATGGATATATCATTTGCATGTAACCTTCACTTATGTTTGAAGTCTAATAACGCTAGGAGTAAAATCTATTGAAAACGGCGCCAGAGTATCAAACTCTAAAATGTACCATTTCTTTTTTAATTTTTTAATGGCATGATATAGTGACACGATAATATTAACATATGTTTTCACCATAACTCTGAATGTATTAATGAAATATTAATGCATTGGGTCTTTTTAATTTTTTTATAAAAAATAATATTAATATTTTTTGTCCGCTGTGACGGAGCATTTTCACAGTTCACATTTGCAACTGCTCCGTCACAGCGGACAAAAAAATTAAACATTATTTTTTATAAAATAATTAAATAGACCAAATACATCAACATCTCATTTATACCTTCATATTTATGCTGAAACCATGTGTAAATATTATCGTGTCACTATATCGTGCCATTAGAAAGTTAAACAAGAAATGGTACATTTTGAAGTATGATACCCCGGCGCCATTTTCAATAGCTTTTCTTCCCAGCGTAATTGGACTTCAAACAGAAGTGAAAGTTACCCGCAAATGATATATCCATTGCATGGAGTAAGTAATTTTGTATGGTATAACGAAACATGCGAGTTAAAAAATAAATCGTGAAGAATGCTTAGTGTTTTTATGAAAAATAGCATGCTCCGTCACAGCGGACAAATATTTCGATACCAGCCTGTGGTTAGGCAGGACATAATTGTGAAACATTTTTCCTCTTGTCATAAAGAGGATAATGTTTGTTTTGCAGTTTTAGGCAAGCATCTCCATATATTCAGCATTTGAAATATTCTAATGACGCCCCGTGTATGCATTAATGCATCAATGTACTCCAATGAACCGTATCATTCCTTCTATTATTCATTATATTCTGGTTTTGAATATATGTCAGATACAGCTCCATGTATCACTGGATTAGATACCAATCGCATTATAAATAATGATTGGCACATGAACGCTGTTATTAATTGTACTCGTCTGAAGATACTATCGTAGCGTATCGTTATATAGGATAATGATATATCTTACAGTATATACCCGCTTCTATCAATGTAGGCCCCAAGGGCCATAAGATAGATCAATTACATTGAGTAGTTCAGAAATATACTATCATACTATTGTACAAAACATGATTCTAATATATAATTGACTTTCTCAGAATTGGTCTTTGTATAAAACCAGCGAATCGTTCTGTATAATCAGCTTACTTTCTCGCTCCCTGTACTATTGAACAATTTACATTCCTTGCACCCTGTATTGATCAACTTTTGCAACTGTGTACCCTGTACTATGACATATCAAATATTTTAACATTTAAAACGATATTATTTATATTCTTTCTTCAACCATCATATAACTTTGAACATGGACTTCACTATTGCACC